TTAATTTCACATTTATTTCATTAATTCACATTTCAGTTCTTAATGCAGCGTTAGAAATTGGCACTAGTCCTATAGTCCTTGCCAATTTGCCCAATGGTAAAGGTATCATAAGGACTTGTAGAAATTTGCACTTTTTAAGGGTTTTGCTATATGTTATCATTATAAGGACTAGTGCACGAAAACTGTTAGTTTCTAACCCTCCTTAATGGGAAAGCGATCTTTCCCATCGGCGGTAAAAATAATACCTTTGTTATTCTGATAATACTTTTTTCTGTTGAACTGTCGGTTTATAAAGTCGGTTGATCCATTAACCAAGAAAAAAACGAAAGGCCCGAAAAGAATGAAGATTGTGGTTGTTTTAAGAAACCGCTAGGTCTTTAAAGTTCAAACTTTTGAATAATATGTACCAGCATATAGGAACTAGTCACTTAATTACCTTTCTCGCCTAGTCAGCCTGAATTTGTATTCTGTAGGCCATACAAGGGAATCTCGTTTTCACATCGATTTGGCTGAAACTGCACACGGCAAATATTCATAAACGCGCCTTTTATATATCATGTGCTGAGATTAACTGTATTTAATTGAAACTACTTCTAAGTTGAATATTGATTTATGCCTTGGAGATTTGTTTGGGCGCAGTGAGTGTAAACTCGTTATTGAACAGCTATGTACTATTGACGACAGATTGATGATGTACAGCATGGAGCCAACAGGGCGCGCTGACACTGACTCCGTGATACAAAAGAGTCAGTTAAAAAAATGATATAAAAAAATAATATCATTGAATTGTTTCCCTTCAGTGAAACAGATGTGACAGTTTCCTCGCCCTGCATCGCGAAATTGTTGATTGGCACACTTTGCAAAACCACGGTCGCATCTGGCGCAGATATTGAGAACAGATATAACTCAGAATATCAAGTTCGTATGATAGGGACATAGATGTGGAATGACCTCTGCGAGAACAACTGTTACTGTGGCAATGCTGAGGGTGCCAGCCTTTTGGTAGGATGCCGAGCCTTGTTGAGTTGTATTCCGGTGTGGGGGGTGTCAAGTGGCACCCTCAATGCTGTGTCGTTATATTTTTGTTCTTGGGTACTAACGTCCCTTTAAATAGGGGGCGGTCGGGTAGCCTAGTGGTTAAAGCGTTCGCTCGTCACGCCGAAGACCCGGGTTCGATTCCCGACATGGGTACAATGTGTGAAGACCATTTCTGGTGTCCCCCGCCGTGATATTGCTGGAATATTGCTGAAAGCGGCGTAAAACCATACTCACTCACTCACTCACTCCCTTTAAATAGGCATCAAACGGACCTTAGCTGCCGACGTAGAACGTTATTCCATTAATATGTCCATTTTCCTTTCAGAGCGATTACAGCGTTCGATTACATAAGGGCTTGTAACGAAAAACACCGCGACTAGGTTTGTCAGCACCATACCCGTGCTCGTGGGTTTAACCGAAGTGGTAAAAGTCTGAGACCTGCATCACTTCGGGCTTTCCTCCCACATGAAGCTGTCACGCCGCGATAAAATCATACTCGCTGCGTCACAGCAAATTTTGTAATGATAACATACTATATCATATATCCATCAATGATATGAGGTATTTTGTATGTGCGGTAGAGCCAACATGGAGATGTTCATATCACAGGGGGTGTAACAACCAGACCCGTATTACACATCTGCCGGCCTGATATGGCTGGTCAATGCATTTTGAATGGGCAATCGATATCAGCCCGGGTGGTAAGAAATTAGAGTTACGTCCATTAGTGCGTCGTCTGCTCGCAAGTGAATTCCCGTGACAAGGTGAATATGTTTTAACAGACAGACACGAAATTTAGAGATGTTTTATGAATGTATACATTTTACAATTTGATGTTATGGTATATGATAAAAAGGTATATTTCGTTTTTCTTTACATTTAAAAAAAAAAAGAGGGGGGGGGGGGGGGGTTCTCAAGCTAAACACTCACGCTATCAACCACTGGTTTGCCCGCTCTAGGTCCCAAAGGTCCACAGACGCCGTGTTTCAACGGGCATATTGCTGACTATTGTGAAGAGCCCACTCAAACCAATCAAACAGTTGACATGTAAATATATCGCCGCACATGCAACAGATGAGTGTATCGTTAGGATGGAAAGTGCTTATTGATTTCCAACATCTGGCACTGATGTTAGTGTGGTTTAAAGCAGGTACCATGGGCAGCAAGGCTGTTTAGTCCACGCAATTATTGATAAATCTCCAAGTCAGTTTCTACCTTATGGATAAATCCATTCACTTGGAACATCCGATGTATAACACGTAAAATGAATAAAATATGAAATATTATTATTCATCGAAGCACATATATTTTACAGGTGAGCCTTCCTCCAATGACCCGTCCGTAATACAGGGGAACAATTTGTTTGACCAAACCCAAAGACCTCTAGAACACGCGTTATTTCGAGGGTGGAGTTCCAACGTTTGATGTCGGATAAAACAAAAAATATTTATGCCTCGGTAATTAAGTTTTGAGGCACACACCCACCCACCCCTACATATCCACCCATGATCTCCGTCCCCACTACCCTCTATCGTGAAAATGTTGACACCCTCAAAGAGAGCAACTGAAAGTACAATGCATAAATGTAATCAAATAATAGAACAGGTGTGGATCTGCACTAACATGCATTAATGTCTTTGACCCGATCCTGCGGGAACGGCGATCACGCCGATCGTGTTCAGAGTGAGATATAACGATTAGGTCTGCTACTAATTGCCTTGAAGAATGGAAATAGGTTGAAGACTTGCATATGTATCGCCCTAACCCCCTCACTGCACATACGCAAACTTTAAGAATAAGATCTTTTTACCGACATGTATTTTTAACTGCCCCCTGTGTTGGCACGCCTTGATTTTTCTAACACAGTCGTCATAACGGCGTTATATTCTTTTCATGCTTAACATATCAATATCCTTGGTTACTCGTGCCTTCATATTCCAACTGTGCAGAGTTGCGTCGCTTTGGCACGCCAGTAGCATATGATTGCGGGTTCGAATCCCGGCTAGCCCCGAGAATGTTTCTAGATTTGTCAGCACCATACCCGTGCTCGTGGGTTACACCGAAGTGGTAAACGTCTAAGACCTGCATCACTTCGGGCTTTCCTCCCACATTAAGCTGACACGCCGAGATATGACTGTGTAATACTGTTGAACGCGGCGTTAAACCCAACTCACTCACTCACTCACTCGTATGTATCACGGTATATTCCACGTTATAACACATATCCTGTATATCTACAAGACTGTCCTACTCATGAAACGTTCAAGACTGCTGCCAGATCGTTTTGTGTAATGTGATTGTCACGTGAACGAGTGAAACAAGCTCACCCATACACGGTGGATGTTGGATTTCAGCCATCTCTGCGACATTATTTCTACTGTGATTTATATATGTTTGCTTGCCACACATAACGCGTCTGTTATCCAATCTGAGACATGTAGTCTATCCCAACACTGTACCAGCGTACTCAGGCCTAATAGTATCATGTCATAGTGTATGTAGGTTCCTCATCGCGGCGTAACGGGAAGTCCGATTACACACCCGATATCGTTAACCCCGCTATAACGCACACATTTCTACATTAATGATAAACATTGCAATACAAAATGAAAAACGATTGTCAATTACGTGCGTTATGACTTATCATATTAGTGCTACTAAGTGTATCAATAGTATGTCACTCTACGTCGACAGCTGAATGCATTACCAAATGTGTGCACGGAATATACCGGGCTTTACCGAGTACCTCACATTCAAGCACCGAGTCAAGCGGCAAGCTTTTATATATCCGCTGAATTTAACGCTAGTTGAACCAGTTGGCTAAAGCGATACAGTATTTTATATTGCCAAACATTACATGCAATGCTAATTAGAGACGTAATTCTCCATATAATAACCCAAGAGAAAATTGGTAGTTTCCTGTATTTAAGTTATATGATCCAAAATGAACTATGAAAATAAACAAAGGTCGGCGAACATGTCCTCACGGAAAGTAAACATTGTGTCGGCGACCGAGTCTGTACGGCTGATCAATGCGGTTATATAATGGTAAGATCTTCACAGCAGTTACCTCCCTTAGCTTTGTAAACGGGACTTTTGATATTTGCGTTTAATAAAAATACCGTTCACCGCTGCCTCCCTTAAATTGCTACCGGTTTAATTTTGTTACTCACGTCTGTTTTTACATTCTGTGTTCTGTTGATCCTGGACAAAACACAATTTTTCATCGGAAATATATTTGTTGAGTAAATCATAGCATGAGATTTGTTTACAACGAAGAATTGGATTTTTACTGAAATTATAATGACAATTTGTCACAATTTTTTGTCTCAAACGTATAATTATAGGCCATGAATTGAATAAATCATATTCATTTTTGAATTTCGTGTTTTATTTGTTACGTGCTTTATCGTTGTTTATTTTCAAACCTACTCTGATATATATAATTATTTTTTTCATACGTTTTTCGTTTCCCATTCCATTACAAAGTGGAGTTTTCTATAAAAATCCGTTTGTGGTTTTGTAGATGCTATATAAAGAGAAAAAGATACATTAACAAAATACGTGTGATAATGAATTTTATGTTATAGATATCCAAAATATATTGCAATAACGATGTTTAATTACCATCGTCATTCACAAAATTGTTCGATTTTGCGCTTTTATTAACTGTGCAGCTTTCACACCCTTGCCGTTAAAAGACCACCCGAATTATTCAAGTTAAATAAAACGATTCGTTAATTGTTTCTTCAAAAGTTACTTTTCAAGTGTACACTGACAAAATGCAACCACGGCATTCCACACTCTACACGTTTAGTATTAAAATATCAATGTGTTAACGAACAAACTTTGTAGTACATACAAGCTTTAACATAACATACTCGCAATACATTGCTATCTATATGCACATGAATCAATATGGCCCAGCAGACGACACGTTTTGTAGGAACAGCTGTTGGATATATATTATTATTCCTTCCAATCAATGGCATCATGGACGATTCTATGCCTCTGCTGAGGATGCAATGTATATATTTTGCAAGTGATCTTCATAATAGGAGCGATCTGAGGTTATGTGGCATCAGCAGGCAGTGTTGAAAACAGCTTCGTCCTTTAGAGGTGTTGGTGGAACCATTGTGTGAAGAACGTTTAGGATGTGTGGAGATAGTTAAACAGACGGCATTAGTGTGTGCTAGTTTTGTCGTACACATTTTGAGACTTGTGCAAACGTGGTGTATGTAACGACGAGCGGAAGTGGTCAATCGGCAGACGACATTTGAAATCAAACCCTATATTTTTTGAAGAAACATAGTCTTCATTCTTGCTGTGAAGACGTTTTCATCATACATCGGTTAGCAAATAGCAAGAGGTCCTTCGGTGCATATGAACTGATATGGAGTGAGCAGACGACACACGTACATTTGTAGAGCTATAAGGTTTTGGCGGGAAATAGCTGCTGGTGATAAAGGGTTATCTTTGCGAAGTGATAATCTGATTCTGATGATTGCATGTGACTGCTGACTTTGACAACGAATGTTACAGTGTCATAGCCATGTCGTCGGAGACATCGTTGTTGACAGTTGACGAAGGTAAGGCGCGTTGTGTAGCCATTTTGGTGAAGGATTTGGATCAATGTTTTATGTTTGAAAATCGTTTACATCGACGTGTGACCCGTGAAGATCCGTTATAGAATAGGTCTTCAGCAACCCATGCTTGCTATAAAAGGCGACTATAGGGTGGTCAGGCTCGTTGACTTCGTTGATGCATATCCCAATTGTGTTGATCAATGCTCATGATGTCAGTCACAGGATTGTCTGGTCCAGACTCGATTATTTACAGACCGCCGCCATATAGCTGGAATATTGCTGAGTTCGGCGTTAAACAACAAACAAACAAACAGCGACGTGTATTCAGCATGTGGCTCCTCGGCTGCAAATCTAAAGTGGACGTATTGTTATCAGAGCTGCAGGTTACAGGAATATCTCCACCATATTGCCATCCATTTGAAAACTAGGGACGCCTCACGTGTTGCATGGAATGAATCATAACTAGATTAAATTACGTATACACACCACTGGGCACACTTTTAACAATATGGGCGAATGAATAGTTAGGTTGATTGTACATCTAAGGTTTCTTTTTTAATATTCAAAATTGAAAATACTTCGAAAATGATTCGTTACAGCAGAAATTTGTTAATCCAGACGATTTCACTTGGTACTGTCCGTATTGTTTACGAAATAAGTAGTTGTATAATTCAGAATATGCAAGGCGTTAGGTTTAGTCGAGACAGCATATAAATCTGTTCAACAGGTAGATCTGTGCGTTTTGGCCTTTTAAGAATTATGGGTACGAAAATGACATTATAGGAGGCAACTCACTCGTTAATCTCACCATTGAGCGTGGAACAGTTTAGAATTTCTTTAAATACATTCCTTTGAAGAGTCGTGCTTATTAAATCTTTATGGCTGGTATTCAAGATGTGCAATTTGATGAAAACCTCGCTTATTTGACATTAAAAAAGCAACTGATTACTCCAAAACCAGGTCAAACAAAATGCCATAAATCGTTATGCTGAAAGGTACTACAGTGTAACCCTGTTAATCCGATTAACGAATCATAGTAATAATGTCACTTTGTATACATAGGGGGTAGGTGTCCGGATTTACAGGGACCGGACTATCGAGGTTTCACCTGAATGAGTAGGTTCCAACAGAAGGTTAAGTGAACATGGTATTTCAACTCTCTGTCTCCAGTAGCTGACAAGGGCACAATTAACGATCGTGTGCGGTAGATCCTGCTCGGTGCATTCACCTGTTTTACTGTTAAGGGGTGTGAGGTAGCCTAGTGGTTAAAGTATCCGCTCGTCACACCTGTTACCTGGGTTCGATTCCATGTAGATCATGTTTGAAGTTTGTCCATAGTCCTTGCGTTCTAGACGCTGCTTTAAACGATATTCACACACACACACACACACACACACACACACACACACACACACACACACACACACACACACACACACACCTAGTGGATCGGATGGTCACGCTCGATTATTTCATCGATTGCATGTCATCGTACCTCGACGGCGTTGACCGTGCTTACAGTATCAATCACTGGTTTATCTGCTCCATATTTGATTATATACATATTCCGTCAGCTGTGATATTGCTGCGGCGTAAACTATACTCACTCACTCACTCTATCATCGATTGCATGTCATCGTACCTCGACAGCGTTGACCGTGCTTACAGTATCAATCACTGGTTTATCTGCTCCAGACTGGATTATATAGTATATTCCGTCAGCTGTGATATTGCTGCGGCGTAAAACAACAACAGATTAACAAAACACTGAGCATAAATGTACCTAGCAGTCACTATTTCATAAAATAGTGTGTACAAGTAATGTATAATTGATTACAATGCATTTTATAGTCATCCTCTTTTTAAGTTGATTTATTCAAAGTATTGAATTTCATTGTCGGGCATTTATTATATTTTGTAGTAATTTTATACCGTGGCGTCACTGAGCGACGCACGTCTTTTCAGATTCTTCAACGAAGGTTAACATACTTGTTATGTGCATGTGATGATAGTCGACTTCCGCGGTCGTGTCACTCCTCCTGTTATCACAGCAAATGTTATCAAGGTGTTGGCCCGTACTATAAATTTAATCTGCATAACCTACATCAATAGTCAGTATTGCTCAAAACGGTGTAAAACCATATTCTCTCATTCCTTTAAACGTTCAAAATGAAGTATACAATTAATCAAGTTAATCCACGCTGCATTGCTTCCACCGCTATCTTCAAGATACACCACTTGTTCATGTGAGTGAGTGAGTGAGTGAGTTTATGCTTTACGTCACATCGGCAGTATTTCAGCCATATCGTGACGACTGGTTCATGTAATTACCTGGGTTAAACTCAATAACAAACAAACTACCTCGATATCACCGGTCTATTCATAACTGCGGCACTTGGCAATATTCACTCACTCATTCAACTTGATTTAGAGGATGAACATTATCTGTTAAATTGACAAAAATGTGCGTAATTTGTATCTGGAACCGACGCCATTACCTAAGGGTTTCAAATGTGTGTATTCGAAGTTGTTATCGATATTCTTCTGTGTTATTGAGTATTTGGTTCCCAGGAATTACAATACCGCCGGTAACAATGGCGGACACTGTTGCAGTGTAATCGGTCAATAACCCAAATTAGGCCACGTTGCACGTATTACATGAACAACAGACAACGCTAACCACAATTTATGACTTTCAAGATTCGTCATACAAAAGTCACATACAGCAATTAAACCACCTGTCGGTCATATTTGTGTCGACTTTCATGTTCAACACCAAACTGGCCTATCACTAACCGATCGACCTAGTGATTGTATTCCACTTTAAGGCGGACGCCAGCTGTCAGGTTGCCAGTCAGTGTACCCAGTTAACTTACAATCATTAAAATCACTCCAAGGATATATCAATGATATTCATCGATGTTTTCACTCGCTGTCACCGCGCCAGTTGTCACAATGTTATTATTATGTACAGATTAAAATAAATAATGCAGCAAAGTGGGTTTGGGTGATCCTGGCACAGTCAGGCTGGTTAGGCTCATCATCAGCCCAGGGTCCTTGCCCCCTCTACACGCAGCCCAGACAGCGAATGGGACTTCTCCCAGGAACCGCTGCCTAGTGAAACCCACCCAGAATTTTTCGGAGAATGTGAAGACTCCCCAACACTGCAGCCTTCTGCATTACCCAACTTGCCAGAAGGGCTGTATTCCTGGTAGTAAACCTGGTACTCTCCCAATGTCTGTCAACAGATTTGGAGGTACCAAACCTAAGGCACCGAGAACAATGGGGAGTCGGATAACTTCGTACTTGGCATGCAAGCGTGACATTTCGAAAGCGAGGTCCGCATATTTGCCATGTTTTTCCCCAATCTTGTCAATCAAATTATTATCATTATTGCAAATAGTTGTGTGGTTCAGTTCAACGGTTTTGTCCATGTTCTGGTTGTTTGTCTGTATAAGGATAGTGAGAATGGCTCATGAACCGAAATACCAGCCTTCCATATCTATTCCCGTTTGTTTGTTTGTTGTCGAACGCCGAACTCCAGCTAAATGACGTCGGTCTATAAATAATCGAGTCTGGACCAGACAATCCAGTGATTGATATTGTGAAGAACGATCCACGCCGTCGGGGTACGATGACACGCCATGAGTGAGTGAGTGAGTTGGGTTTAACGCCGCTTTTAACAGTATTCCAGTCATATCGCGGCGTGTCAGCTTAATGTGGGAGGAAAGCCCGAAGTGATGGAGGTCTAAGACGTTTACCACTTCGGTGAAACCCACGATCACGGGTATGGTGCTGACAAACCTAGAAACATAATCGGGACACGCCATGAACAACCTCACCGAGCCTGACCTCCCGATCCAGTTGATCACCTCTTCCGACCAGTTGGGGAGCTATTCTAATCCTACGGGGGTTCTTGTTTGTAAGACCGCCTCCCATGGTCTGGTGTAAGAACGTCCGCCCCGCGTTCGATCCCCGGCCGCGTCATACCAAAAGACCTTAAAAGATGGTACTTGTTCTTACCCTGCCTGGCGCTCGGCATTAAGGGGCTGAAATAAGGACTAATCGGCTCGGAGTAAGTATACTGTGTCTGAGTGGGGTATTCATGTAAAACTGCGGCATGGTATCTCAGTGGACTAGCGCTATAAAATCGGCATTAATTCGGACTAGTACAAGCAGCCACACACGCTACATAAGTGCAATAATCTTGGACGCGACGTCAAACGCCATTTCAGCTCACCCCTTGTTTCTAATGATTAGTGACAAGAAAATTGTACATGAATTATATGCTATGACAACCAAATCTTGCAGTTAGTGAGTTTTTAAGCCATGCACCTTAAGCAATATTCTAGCTATACCAAGGCAGGGGACATATGATATGGGCTTCACACATTGTACCCATGGGGAATCGAAACTGGGCTACCACCACCTTCCGAATACAAGGATAAGAGGTTTAGACTGCAACATTTCAAATAAACGAAACTAATTTAACATGAGCATTGGACACGTTTATTACTTCTATTACGGTACGTCGTTGGGGTGGGAAACGACGATAGGACCACATACCGCCGTTTTAGAGGTATATAGATTCATTCTGAGTCACAGGTAGCTCAAAGGTCTTTGACTACGAAATTCGCAGTGTTGTGTTCCCTCCTCTATTCCTATCAGGATCCGCTGACACTGGGTTCGATTATGAACCTTGGTTTATCAGCACCATAATCCATAAAGTGGTAAATATCTAAGACCTGCATCAGTTCGTCATAATTCCCACATTACCTGACCCGCCCTGATGATTGAAATACTGTTTAAAGCGGGTAATATTAAACCCCGAATGAATATTTGCAGAAGATAGTAAAATGAAAACTTTTCACAATCATTTCCTGCTAACCAGCATCGTGAACAGTTCGGAAAATATAAATAACTCAAAGTATTCAATGTATGAAAGTGCCACAGTAACTTGACACGTGAAACTACGTGTTGAGTCATAAGCGTGGGTCACAGCGTGAAGGGACATGTCGATGGAACCGATGTTGTTACTGGTGAACGCCTGTGTGAGTTGGTAACATGTTGCTCGCCCAACCCGGGAGCAGGCAAAATGTTAACACTGGAATGTATGGATCTGACACACAGACTGTTAGCGTAAATCTATCACAGTTATTAAAAAAAATATGGCTAAACAATATATAATGCTAACTAACCTCGTTCGCGTGAGCGCTTGAACACAGAGGTGCATATACCTTGACCGCCACGTTGAACTCCGCCCCTTGCGTGGTTAACAGATATCAAATTATGTCATAGTGTTAAAGAGAGTGAGTGGTAGAGTTGGTTTTAACACCACTTTTAACAGTATTCCAGTTGTATCACGGCGTGCCAGCTTAATGTTGAAGGAAAGCCTCGAAGTGATGCGGGTCTCAGACGTTCACGTTGGTGTATCCCACGAGCACGGATATGATGCTGACTAGCCCAGAAACATAGTCGGAACTAACGGGGATTCGAACCAACAATCACAGGTTTCAGTCGGGACATAACTCTGCACGGCAAATTACAGCGCCTTTGTCGACTGGGCCACCCGTGCCCTTTCATCGTGTTAAAACTGCAAGGGAATCTACGTTGTCATCCTCTATGTCTCAAGGGATCGTAGTTCGGTAAACCTATGCCCAGGAGATAAAAAAGATGATACGTTGTAGGTCTCAGGTACTATCGCACTACTACTACTACTACTACTACTACTACTACTACTACTACTACTACTACTGATACTACTACTAATAATAGAGGCTATCTGAACGACCACTGCATCGATTTTATGCGCAGTGTGTTGAGAAGATCAGCAATCCTGCAGAGTCCTTTATTGGATGAAGTCGTCTGGCCTGAAAAGTGTCGGTTGTATATAATCAGGTCAATAATATACATTTCTAAAAGACATCTAATGTCTGAAAATACAAAAGGGACAACCTGAGTTAAAACCACAATATTTATATGGACTGGAGGCACTATACCATACCATACCATACCATACCATACCATACCATACCATACCATACCTTACCATAACATAACATAACATAACATAACATAACATAACATAACATAACATAACATAACATAACATAACATAACATAACATAACATAACATAACATAACAACACATAATAGCTTACCTTCTTAACTAGAGCAGTGGTATAGCCCTGCAAATAAAAGCCACAAAAACATTTCCACAATCATAAGAAATCTCTGCCCAAAACATGTCCGCTGTCCGACTCCGACTGTATCATCAGCATTTGTTTATGAATCACTATCAAATAGGGATGATTCCATTTTTCTCACTATTGGAGTTTGCGTAGGATTATTTCATATGTGGAACGCTGAACACTTGTCCTGTAACGGTAAACAAACTGTATGTTAAGCCCTTTTGTGCAGTCGATAACGACATGTATCGTTAATAACAATGTTGTTATATATTATAGATGTGTTGTTGTTTTTTTTATCAGGGAAACCATTGGTTTACGACCCATCTTTCAAAGGACCAATCAAAAAGAGGTAAGTTTTGTCAACCTTTCAATAATTTCAAATCAATTACACAACAAACCTACAAGACACACAGATTTTGTTATATTGGAGGCCATAGGACCCACAGTACAAATTAATAACACAACAAACCTTATGTGTGCATAAAGGAATTTTGACAAGATAAATTATCTGAACACTGTTTTGTTGTATTTTTAATCCATCTGAAGAAATCATTTCTCAACTTTGACTATTTAACCTTTACCATGTTAAACATACGGAGCATCTTTGCTTGTCACAAATATTCTTCAAAATGAGAACCACTACAGTTGAAATAGAACATTTATTAAAGTGAGTGAACGTGAGTGAGTTTGGTTTAACGCCAGTTTTAACAGTATTCCAGTTATATCACGGCGTGTCAGCTTAATGTTGAAGGAAAGCCCGAAGTGATGCAGGTCTCAGACGTTTACCACTTCGGTGAAATCCACGAGCACGGGTATGGCGTGAAACCCAACTCACTCACTCACTCGCATGTATCATGATATATTCCACGTTATAACATATATCCTGTATATCCACAGATCAAAGCATATGTTTATTAATAGAGTATGATGTAGCGTATGTCGTATGCATCATGATATATACCACGTTATAACATATATCCTGTATATCCACAGATCAAAGCATATGTTTATTAATAGAGTATGATGTAGCGTATGTCGTATGCATCATGATATATACCACGTTATAACATATATCCACAGATCATGCACGGACATCATCTGCTGTATTCTATTCCTGGCGTTTGTGGCGGGCCAGGTAGTCGTGGGCTTCTATGGTGAGTCCCTTACAGACCACACAACATCGATGTAACATAAGCATCACCCCAGTGCCATTCTCAGCTGTAACAGCCTAACGTCACCCACATTTCAGCTCTAAATACTTGAGAGTTCCTTACAGACCACACAGCATAGATGTAACATAAGCATCACCCCAGTTCCATTCTCAGCTGTAACAGCCTAACGTCACCCCTTTTAAGCTCTAAATACTTGAGAGTTCCTTAATACTTCAGTGTTCCTTGATAGAATTGTACTTCACCTTATGCACAACGTTATTACGAGGACTACCCAGCAACCTGGGACAGCTTCCTGTCCGCTGCAATACACCAAAAAAGCAGCATACCAGGACCACTAAAGAAAACCAGCATAGAACTACCAAACTATGGAATATGTATACACTTTACATTGAAATTGCCACGCAAATTACAAACGAAGACATATCCACCCAAAGCTTGAATCGTAAAGATAACAACCCTGTACAATTTCAATGGAAGCAAACAGAGTATAACACGTGGTCTGTCTTACAGTCCTTGAATATTTTCAAATATATTTTCCCTTTCGCTTAGTCCTTCTGTAATGCAAAAGCCCTAAATGAAGCAAGCATAGATTTTCCTCTTGCCATCTCACTGGGGCTCCTTAACAATTTAAAGGGATTTTTTTTCAAGTTTTTAATCAAAATTATATATTCTCAGAGACTAAGCATTAGTCTGAAAACCACCCAGTACACCATCCTACCCCCAACTTAAGGATTTTTTGTCGACAACTTTTGAACTGCGCTTGGCTGTACAAGTAGTACACCTGTTCTATGATGGCTAAAACTGGATCAATTACAACTCACTCTCCTAAAGCTATAGTTATATTTCCTATTAGTTTAGCCAAATATACGAATGTTGATGAGCTGATATGTGTTGAATCTTAAGTATGTTCAGGTTGGATTTGGTTTAAACCCCAAACATTAAACATTCTGAATCGCTTGACCATTAAATCTGACATATTCATTATCCACGCTCAGTGAATATTCATGTAAAGAGAGTTGAGCAATGTCAAGACATTGTGAACCAGCGTTATAGTAACATGCCTCTTACTACCCCCACAGCCTATGCCTATGGGGACCCCACCCTACTGCTCTACCCCCAGGATTCTGAGGGTAACCTGTGTGGAATTGGTTCAATGAGGTGAGGTCCAATATTTGTGCTTATTTATATTGTAATGACCGCTCCTCTTGTGGTCCGTGTTTGATCGTATAATTATTGTTCATGTAAAACCTTACGATTTGGAATGTAGCGGTCAACAAAGTGATCGAAAACCGGACGTTGTTTTATAACGTAAATATTTGTATCCTGAAGTACTAAGTTTTGCAGATGTATTTCTGAGACCTTTGTTCAATTTTTAGCAGTTTGTATTTTTGTGTCCGAATTTGACCAAAACAGGAGGATCTGTGCGGCATGAAAACACGTTATATCTTGATGACATCCATTGAACCACAGTGTATTAGAAGTGTGTTAAAGAAAATGGCAGATATTTGGCACATTTTAGTTGGCAACGTTGGCATATTGTCTTTCTGCAGAGAATTTCTTTCAGAAATCTTAGCTTATTTGTATTATTTACATCAGAAATATCACTCAGTAGAAATACATTTTTTGAAAGGCATCGATGTTATACACAAAAAACATGTATAATATAAAAACAACAGGGTACATTACTGAGACGTTGTTTACAGGGGGAAGACCGACCTCTTCTTCTTCGACCTGACGGAGTGCGGCCGGATGGGGCCAGGTGTTTTCATCAACGGTTGCCCCACACCCCAGGTAGAGGGATACCGTCTGACAAACCAGTCCCGTGGGGGTTGGGGTTGGGGTTGGGGTTGGGGATTGGGTGGTCAAGTGGGGGTCAGGTGTAGGGCACAGACTTGTCATAAGAGCCGCACCGTGTCATCATGCGTGGTTCGGCGCACATGCTATCAACCACTGGTTATCACTGACAAACTCAAATATGTACAGGCCGTCGTAGTAAAGCTTTAATATTGCTGACGTAGGCGTTAACAACACTCGGTTATTCTCAGCCAGACCAGTATACAAAGATAACCATACAACTCCCGTGTCTTTGAACAGAATAACGGTTTGCGAAATATAAAATATTATACCTTTCGCCGTGATATTGCTTGAACATTACAGAATGATGAAAGTCTTAGGTGCTTATATATATTTATTGTTGATCAAATGAAAATAATAAAATCAAAAACATATGGAGCGACACATTCAACGCCACATAAAATCACATTCACTAAACTACCACGGAGCTTAGTCACAGTCACGTTATACCTATAAGATTTGAAAGGTTCGATATACTGTTAATTTCCTCAACCTTGTTAATCCGGAAGCTATAGTTCACTGGGACTCAGACCTTGTCCATTTTAGCACATTTCAGGAATGCGATTCCTATGCGACGTAGTATGTCTCTTTTAGTATAAATAGCAATGTCCGGAATAGCAGTGTCCGGATTAACACGGTTGTACTGTATATTCCAGGTGTGTGTGTCAAGCTGCCCAACTTCCAACTATGTGGCGTTTCCTGACTTCCTTAAAACCGGGAACGCTGCGTCAGATTTAATATGTGTTGACGGAGCAGACAAAACAAAGGTAAGAAATAATTCTGTCTCTCACAACAGATCGATTCCCAATCTCATTCAAATCCGATCTAAGTTCTCGCTGCCGCCAAACCAAGATCTGAGGACATCCCATTACGAGTCACGTCAGAACTACCTTTCGCGAACTTTGACCGCCCACTGAAAAGACTAACAAGAAGTCGACATCAGCCAATTAGAAAGCAGCTTTCTCGACGTTTACGGCACTCGGCGACTTCCATTTCAGACTACGCTTGAAAATTATGTTGATACAGTTCTCGATTAATATTTTGAAAACTGAACAAACGAACATTCCGGAATGTCTTAATATGGTTGCGATTGAATGGCAGTGCTTCCCACATACTGTGCAACGCCTCCTCCGTTCAAATGTTTATCCCTCGGAAGCGAGAGATAGACGATAATTTTGACAGAATCAGTCATAATGTCGTTCGGAATAACCCGTGTTAACGTTTTCGAGGTTGCATGATCAGAAAACACATTCCGACCTTCACTTTCATGATCTGGTAAGCGACGCTTTGATTGGTTGGATGAAAGGTCGTTCTGACGTGACCCGTAATGGGATGCCCTCAAATCTTTGTTTAACTGAGATCTGTTTTTAATTAGATTGGATCGATTCCCTACATCTTTTGGATATATCTTGAGTTATTTTCCATTCCGTAGTTGTTTATCTATGTTCCCGTCCTTATGGCCAGCAACGTTATCGTCCTTGAATTTGCAAATCAGGAAAATGTCTTGAGCATTTTGAGAGGCGTCATTTTTTGTCATTTCGAAAGAGAATGAATTTAGGTTGGTATATGGAATTAAAAACCAGAATTATACCAACCTACCTCTTTTTTGTCGAAGTGTTGACGCGAACATATCTATCAATTTATGCTTTATAAGTCTTTGTTCACTGCTGAATATGCTCTTCTGTATTTTGTAAGTGTTCATGTAAAATGATTGTTTATCAGCCTGGTGCCTTAACATTCGTAAATAAAGAAAGTATTCACTTTTGTTTGATGGTGTCTAAAAATGAAACAGACAAGAAATGGTTATTCGATGGTGATGTATTTGCTGGGGATGTCACAGTTGGAGTGAGAATCCCAACTCGGCAGTGTTTCGGCGACTATTTTCAGCCTGGTAACTTTTTGAAAATGTTTGTCATTTTTTGGTCAAATCCATTTTTCGAGTGAATATACTTTCTTTTGCGGGGCAGTAGATGCTAACTACGGGCGACATAATCTGGATTATCTGTTATAATGTTACAACCACCAATACACTGAGTACGTAATTGTCCATAGAGGAGTAACCATCAAGTTTGTCCTTCACCTTGCAGCAAGTGAGCGAGCTAGTAACGTCGAAGGCCTGTGCTCCGTTCTACTTGAAGAGTACCTCAGGTAGGACTTATATCTGATATTTTTTCTCCAGGGGATTCCATGGAAGAATAGGTCCCCAGTACCGGAAATTGGTTGATGTTCAATTGTTGAACATTCAGATAATCGTCCTAGATTTTAGATTTTTGACTCAATGCCCATTACTATCGTACCATTCATCAAGAAACTCTGGGTGCCATGGCATTTCAGACAGATGGGATCAAGTGTTTACGAATACATATAGCAAGTGATTCCATGGCTAACCAATGTTTTGTGCGTTAATGTTTCCATAAACTTGAACAAATTGGGCCACGCCCCTTAACGAGCTATTTTGCTGTATCATTGCGCTGATGGATGTCACTGATTTTTTATCGTTGTACACAGTTTTGTGTGATATGTATTAAATAGCACTATGTGAAGTTATTATTATCGATTAATTATTCATAAAATATGAAACTTTTCAATATTATTTTTGAATTTATAAACGCAAATGTACGTAGTATACACGCATAAACGCAGAACATATTGGCGTACTGTCTGAATACACCTCTGTATATATCCTTGTGGTTGTAACAGATCTGTAAATACACCTCTGAATATATCCTTGTGGTTGTAACAGATCTGTAAATACACCTCTGAATATATCCTTGTGGTTGTAACAGATCTGTAAATTCACCTCTGAATATATCCTTGTGGTTGTAACAGATCTGTAAATACACCTCTGAATATATCCTTGCAGTCGTAAAAATATCTCTTAATACATCCCTGGATATATCCTTGCAGATCTCTGAATACAAATCTAAATATGTCCTTGCGGTTGTAAACAGATGTCTAAATACACCTTTGAATATATCCTTATAGTTGTAAACAGATGTCTAAATACCCCTCTGAATATATCCTTATAGTTGTAAAAAGATCTCTCAATACCCCTCTGAATATATCCTTATAGCTGTAAACAGATGTCTAAATACACCTCTGAATATATCCTTACAGTTGTAAACAGATGTCTAAATACACCTCTGAATATATCCTTACAGTTGTAAACATATCTCTCAATTCACCTCTGAATATATCCTTACAGTTGTAAACAGATGCCTGCCAGATATAAGCCAGTTCGTCAGTTTGGGTAACAGCGCTGCTGAGGTGGCGACCTCTGCCGGAAGCAACATCCCCATCACAGATGGCAGCAACAATACAGTCACAGGGGAGGCCCTGAAGGTGGCTGAGGAGTAAGTACACACAGTTGTCTCCTCATCATCAATAATGTCAGTTTTGCCGAGATGTATCTTAGGGTCATAAGACTCATGATGCTACTATAGGTCAAGAGTGCGCAATGATTTAATACCAAAACAGAACTGTCCGTTATGAGTCGACCAAGCACTCGAAAACACGACGACCAGGTACTAGAAAAACGACGACCACGCACTCGGAAAAAAACGGTGACCAAATACTCGGACAAACGGCGACCAAACACTCGGAAAAACGGCGACAAAGCACTCGAAAAAACGACCATGCTCTCGAAGGCACGCCAAACACGCATTCGAAAACACAACGACCATGCACTCGAAAGCACGGCAACCATGCACTCGGGAAAACGGCAACCACGCACTCGGACAAAAACGACGACCACGCACTCGGACAAAAACGACGACCACGCACTCGGAAAAGCGGCACCACGCACTCGGAAAAACGGCAATAATGATGACCAAACAATCAGAAAGAATACGACCCATAATCAAGCTCTCGAAAAATGGACTACTGGATTCCTTCCCGACGTTATCCGAGTGGTTGGTGGTCTCACAGCGGACCTCCTAATAGTATAGTATACTCAATATTATATTTCAGGTTTGTTGTCTTTGTGTGTACAACTCCGACAGATAGCAAACCTAGTTCTATCCTATTGGGTAGATATTATTTCTTTTATTGCAAAAGCCTATGGTAGATGTGTAATCTATATCTGAATTTCAGGCTTCAGCAAAACATGAATATAACACCGAGTGTCCTTGAGCGCAGTGTCAGGTTATAACGCCTCCGCATGACAGTCAAATTGTCATGTAGCACCTCATGACTATACCACCACACAGATACGCTGACTGCATCTTACGATCAAATGGGTATCTGGGTTTTTAAAAAATTCTGAAGTTAATGTTCGTAGCTTTATATATTAGATCAGGTCATTCACTTCAAAATGACCAAGTCAAGGGCCTTATTTCAATAATAGGCAGGAAGTCTTCTGAAGCCACGGATGCGCTTTTTAGACAAGGAAAGATAACTCTTCTTAAAATCCGGACAATCCGGACATTCGTGATAATAAAATCAAAACCGTTTTAACGTATACAACAAAATATGTGTTGTCCTGAAAAGGTCGTTGATATAGCATGTATCACAGACCATATTATGAGACATTCTGTTAACTCTCCAAGAATAAGCAGTTTATAAACTTAGAAACCCCGTTTAGACATGGTGAATGCGTCACAGATCGTGTATTGGTATGGTCGTTGGTGCTACGTGACCCCTTACAAGGTGTCTTGCACGTTAGGGAAATGGGTTGACGGGGATGTGATTCATCCTTTATGAGGTGGAGCGAAGATATGGCCGGATTGTTTTCTTACATTATTCGGAAGACAATTTCTCATTTTTTAAACATCTTATCTTATGTTCATAAATGTTATATCTTCTATTCCATGCTTTGGACGGACTGACGTCTTTCTTCATTTTCTGAACAACTGCACTTGTCACAGTTGGTTTTGGTGGCGAGTAACCCATTTCGCTAGACATGACTCTATATTCGCCACATAGAGCTACATCTGGTGTACTGCATGTACTGCATAATCACCATTATTGCATAAACTTAGTATAATGCCCTGAGACACGTGACACATAGTTGCATCCTCGCATATGTGGGTTTTACAGTACCTTTTCGTAAACGTCCATTAAAACAGAGATTGGCTTGTCCGGATTTGTTGATTGCGTGTCATCGTACCCTGAAACCGTTGAATGTTGTTCATGCTTTCAGTCACTGGTTTGGTTTAAAGGCCACTTAATGTATAGCGTACGCCGATGGCGTGGTACGTTGCTCATAATGTTAATCACTGGTTTGCCTAGTCCAGAATGATTACAGGTCGGCGTCACGAAGCTTAAATGTTGTTGAACAATACACAAACAAACCAAACGATTTATCCAAACTAGTAATTTAGGTAATAATTATATTCTTGTACAGACAACATAATAACATCACATTTCAAATCTATCCACACTCGTAAAAAATAAATGAAAATAAATCCAATTCAGTCAAAAGACAATCAACAGTTTGAAATCCCCCTTGGCAGTGCGGGTTAGAATAGGCCCGTTTGAGGCGACAAAATGGAACGCCTGGTCAGCCTCAGTGACTTGGGTGATGTCATGTCATAATATCAATCACTGGATTATCTTGTCCGGATTATTTACAGGCCGCCGTCATACAGCTGGAATAGTGCTGACTGTGGAGTAAAATAACAAGCAAACAAACAAACCTTTAGAAACATTATAATTTTTCATCATGATAGTTTCATTCGTGTTCTTTTAAAATTCCCAACAGAAACACTTTCCGAGAGATGTCGATTTCCAGTAATTATTATTACACTAAACTACGTTTATAACGAACACGCTTATAACGAACTGACGGATATAAACGAGCTGTGTTTGGTCCCGTCCATTTGCTGTATATATTCTGTTAGTATGCATATAACGAACTACGGTTATAACGAACTACATTTAGTGGTCTCTTTGAGTTCGTTAGAACCATAGTTGATGTAAAAGCATAAATATATAGAGAGGCGTTTGGTCATATGTTTTCAAGACACTGTATTGATATGCCATAACTCCCCAACGATAAACAACACATACACGTGCTTCATCTATTGTATTTCAGAACATTTATTCAATATGAATTCTCTGTGGTGAATATGTTTCAATGCATGTCCAGAGAACTGCTTGCATCTCCTCTTGGTACCAGTGTTCAACTCTATTTGCATGCTGTGCGTATTACTGTCAGCGGAATATGAAACTAGTATTGGGTAGTGACTTATATTTGGTAAAATGCACCTTTCGGATATTAATAATTGATTTTAATTTTTTTCTCATATTTCAGAGTTGAATGAATATATCGACACTAACTGTGTTAATGAATACGCTAGGTTTAATACACGGTGTCCTTGGTAGAGTTAGCTAGAACGCCCAATACTTCTATGAATACATCTATACATAACACGGTATGGATATTAATATTAATTTACAGGCAATATACAATTTATTGCTGTCCATAATTTAAACCGCCTTTAGGGTTAGTTATATATTCGTTGCAAAATGACAAAAGAATAACTCGTAATCCGGCTGATAATTAGAAAACGTGCAATCAATGTAAGTTGTTCATCAAAAGGGGGTCTATTTAGATCTCCCTGATTAAACTACATTCGAGAATATCCATGTATCGCCGATTCTAATTATTTGGACATTACACGAATTAAATGATGATTCCGATACTTCATCATATTCGACACAACATTGTGAAATTCGCTTTGTGAAACGAGGCTTATTGAGGGACTTACGACAGACGTGATGTTGTGGTAGCTTTGTGAAACGAAACCTTTTGAGGGACTTACGAAAGACATACTGCGAAAATCAATTTGTGAAACAAGGCCTATTGAGAGATTTACGACAGACGTATTGCAAAGATCGCTTCCTCGTCTTAGTGCTGTGTGACCACTTTGTGAAACGAGGCTCATTGACGCGATTACGACAGACATAATGTTGTATGACCTCTTTTTGAATGAGATATACTGACGAAATAACGAAAATCATGCTAAAATTTGTTCATGACTCAATTCACTTGTTCTGCTGGCGTGCGCAGGTTACCGGTACAGCCGGACTTCCCAGTCTTGTACAGTGCGGTCGTTGCTAGGGACGTCTCCTCTAAATAACGATAAGAATAATCAAAACGAAATATATGAATTCAACAGTTTGCTGATTATAAACATGACCTATAGTACTTAAACTATGCTTCAATTAATATTGAAATATCTGATTACCATGCATTTCTTTCCATCGAATTTGTTTGCGAAGTGTTTGAGACAGGTGTCACCGCTATACATTGCTGACGCATAGAAACAGTTAGATTGAACCTTTTGGTAAAGTGATCCTATTTACCAGTACAAGGTTAAATATATCAAGTTTACAATAAACACATATACCAAATATATGGTACTGACCTCCATAACCTTTTGATATTCATGATTCTTCTATAAATTTCATACATTTATTTAAACACGCAAATTATGAAACATCCGCTTACTTTTGGTGGAGGAATTTATGCTTGCGCAGGAATCGATTTGTTATTTCTTGCCAACTGCATATTTCAGTATTTGCTCTTGCATTATTATATATTGTTGTTTACAAACAACTTATCTGTTAAATATATATTATATATATCATATCACTTTTTCGTGAACTGTTGTAATTGTCATGTCAGTGAAGGTGAAATGTGGTTTAACGTCGCGTCCAAGATTATTGCACTTACAAAGCGACGTGCATGCACATTGTGTGTGTGTGTGTGTACGTGCGTGCGTGCGTGCGTGCGTGCGTGCGTGCGTGCGTGCGTGCGAGTGTGTGTGTGTGTGTGAGTGAGTGAGTGTACTAGTCCGGACTGATGCCGATTTATAGTGCCCACTGAGATACCATGCCGCAGTTTAACATGAATACCCCACTCAGGCACAGTATACTGACTCAAGCCGCCCAGTCCTTGTTTACGCCCATTAAGACAGGGTAACAACAAGTACCATCTTTTAACGTATTTGGGTATGACGCGGCCGGGGATCGGACTCCGGAGACTCTACCACTAGACCACGGAGACGGTCTATGAGTTAGATCAAAGATCAACGCACATGGTATCTATATATTGTAGGTTAGATAACTGTATTTACATTTTGATTACAGTTATAGCTATGATGGAAAGAAATTGAAAGTTAGCAAATCGATTTATTATATATATTCTATTGTAAGCAGGTTAAACTTATGACTTCTGTAAATAAGAACCGACTGAGTATCGCCAAAATATTTTTTTGTATTCTCATGTAAACTGAAAGACGGTATTGTTTGCAATAATATAATATAAAACGTATAAAATAACTGACAGTGTATATTGTAGAAGTATTCTAATAGAGGGCGTAGAGACAATGTATATGACGCGTGTTTGCAGAGCACTTCCCAATGAGGTCCTAAACAAAAGTATTGAAATTGTCACAATAAACTAACGTGTTGGGTAAAGAAATGAGGGACGGTGGGGGTAGCCTAGTGGTTAAAGCGTTCGCTCATCACGCCAAAGACCCGGGTTCGATTCTCCACATGGGTACAATGTGTTAAGCCCATTTCTGGTGTCCCCGCCATGATATTGCTGGAATATTGCTAAAAGCGGACATTGGATATTTTTAAAAATCATTTCGAATAAACATTGTTATTATTCGCATTCCGGCCCAAACCGAATGGCATTTTACGGGATCTGCTGATTTGTGCCGAATGCAAGCAATGCCCTACATTAACCTATGTGTTCAATTGCAGGGTGTTCCAGGCTTTTCTCAAGGCCAAGGAATATGGAGAGAAGATTATCTCGGACATTGTGGAGACCTGGTACTTGATCCTCGTGTAAGTACCATAAGAAAGTATCGTTATTGAGGCCATTCCTGAAGAGAATAAAACACGTTGGCATATACAACGACACCTCGTTAATACGGACGCGTCCCTCCGCGCCTTGATGACTACCTCTAGGAAGTCTACGTGGATGCAAAAGGATATGAATGAGTATGAGTAGGAATAGTAAATTCGGACCCTGGTCTATCCGCACGGTTTTACTGGGAAGAGCAATGTCCGGATAAACGAGTTTCGCCGTGTATGTAAAAAATATATTTTCTCAAAAACTTCATTTCATACGCATAACAGTCGGGTTGGAATCACGAGTACATATCATTATTATTTTTTTTTCATTTTAACTTTAAATGAGTGAGTGAATTGGGTTTAACGCCGCTTTTAACAGTATTACAGTTATATCGCGGCGTGTAACTTTAAATGAATCAAAAACAACAAAAAAGTAATCACTCCTTTGCAATCATTGTGTGTATGTACAATTAGCATATTTGTTAGCTGGTATCATTGTCATCAATTACTGTAGTTTTTAAACATTCTAACAATTTTTCAACAGAGTGCATTATACTTGTAGGTGTCTGGTGTTGACCATGATTGTCTCCCTTGTGTACATCGTCATCATGAGATGGATAGCCGGATTCATGGTGTTCTTCAGCCTCGTCGCCTTCGTCGGCATCTTCGGCGCAGGTCAGATATATGCAGCTGCATTTAGTTTAATTCATAAAGTTAATTTATTCATTAATTCGGTATTCTGTCAGGAGGGACCCGTCAAGATCCGGGGTAGAACATGTCTTCAGCAGCCCATGCTTGCCGTAAGGGGCGACTATACTTGAGGTAAGGGCGACTAACATGATGTCAATCATTGGATTGTTTGGTCCAGGCTCGATTATTCACAGACAGGCGGAACACGGCTGAAGATCCGGGGTAGAATAGGTCTTCAGCAAGCCATGCTTGTCGTAAAAGGCGACAATGCTTGTTGTAAGAGGCGACTGACGGGATCGGGTGGCCAGGCTCGCTGACTTGGATGATGCATGTCATCGATTCCAATTGCGTGGATCGATGCTCGTGTTGACAATGATTGGATGATCTGGACCAGACTCGACTATTTACAGACCATATAGCTGGAATATTGCTGAGTGAGGCGTTTAACAACAAACAAACAAACAAACCAACTCCGTCAGGAGTGTGTGTGTGTGTGTGTGTGTGTGGGGGGGGGGGGGGGGGGGGGGACCTGGGGAAATAGGGCGAGGTTCGAAGGTGCTACAATTGGCTGTACACAGTTGTGTCATCATGAAGACATGGGTTCAATTCGAGGAAGGGCGTTGCAAAACTATTGACGTCAATGTTGTAAACATCAACATCTCTGTCAGATATAGAAATGTCTGGCATATAAACCGAAAGACTGGCACAATGCATCTTCCCGAGGCAAGAGCGTCCACTAGCCTGTTTATCAAAGTATTGTAGAAACTAGGTTTTGATTGAGGCTAGTGGACACGCTTAAAGCTTGCCTCGGGGAGATGAGAATACAGATACGGAAAGACTCAGAAATAACCTGTTTGAAGGGTTAAAATTCCTGGTTTTACAAGAATCGGTCCAGTTCGGCTGGTGACCTAACCATTCTTGGACCAATAGGGTAACCGAATGTCACAAAGTCATTTAACTTGAGATCACGTGGGGAGTTTTCTGTCATTAAATTTTCACAGTTAATTCACTCTGTTTTTGTCTTTCTGGTGTTGCTGTGGACATCAACATTTTTCAGAATTGCCAACTTCGATTCACAATTTCACAAGGCCATGACTTTTAACCAATATTACGAAAACAGTTCATGTACATGTTCTTACACCTTTTTGGCCGTGGGCTGGCCTAGTGGTTATAGTGTTCGCTCGTCACGTTCGATTCTCCACATGGGTACACTGAGTGAAGCCCTTGTTATTACTGACGTAGTGCTAAAATATACTACTCGCCCGCTCTTACACCTTTCCCAATGTTTTATCTAGGCTCCGGCTACTGTTTCTATCAATGGTACTACTCCCGAGGCAGCCAAGAATCCTACACGATCTACATGGGGGGTCTGACCTTCACTTTTCAGAAGGAAAAGCTATTTCTCGGATGCGGTAAGTGATAGAACTACTTCCATAAATAGTTCTCCGACGCCATTTTGTATAGCCGATGTAAACGCACGTGATTAGTAGGCGATTTCTGATTGGTCATATACAGACAATTGTTTGACAAAGGCTCATGCATCAAATATCTATTTGTAAACATGAAAATATTGGTGAAAATACTGACAAGAACAGAGACTGGTTTTATTTCTTCCCAACACTTGGCGAAAATTCAAAAAACTTTAAAAACTGTTGCTGCATTCACACACACAGGCTTGTCTTGACAAACACGAGTTTGCAAGCATTTATTGTCCGTGTTATGGTGGCCCATAAGGGACATGGAGTCTGTTTTTCAATATTTTGATATTTCACTTACTGTTATCGTTACCTTTTGCAAATTAACACGATTTGTCATATAAATATGTGATAAATCATGTATAAAGTAGATATTGAATCGCTGAAAAGTGAGGCGAAAAAGTCAAAACCTAAAAGAAAATATCAAAAACAAAAACGAAAAGGTCAGAAACTAAAATGAAAATGTCAAAAACAAAAACAAAAAGGTCAAAAACAAAAGCGAAAATGTCAAAAACTAAAATGAAAAAATGATAATATTCACACCGCGGTGGAAATAGTTTTCTGTATTTTCATTTTAGTTTTTGAGTCCATAATGAAGATTTCATTGTTTAATATAATACCGTAAAGTGTAACGACAAGTGCATGATCTGATCAAAACCATGGCACTTGCAGGCATAACAGCGGGCGCCGTCTTCCTCATCGTCATGCTCATCCTGCTCTTCCTCATCTCCAGGATCCGAATCGCCATTGCTCTCATCAAGGAGGGAAGCAGGTATGTGATGCAGTATTATATACTACTGAAAAGAAGTTCTAGAACACCCGATTCTTTCATATTACGATAGTTAATCTGTCATGGCATGACAGCTGAGCTGTAGTAATATGTAGTAACTTCTTTTCAGTCGTAAATAAATTATTTGTCAAGGCGAGGTTTGCTGCCACCAGCATGTAGTACTGTTTATAATTTCATAAAATGATAAAGATCAACGACCTCCCACTGTAAGTTACGAGCCTTTAACTGCTGTCAACTACTAAACACGCCACACTCACTCGTTTTCTGAAATAATCAATCACGTATAAGCGAATATCTTAAAGTGATGTAACAGTACTATTGTGCCAAGTGCAACCCCTTGCTTAGATTTGAATACTAACATTACTGACCTTGATCAGTGGGAGCATGGTGGCTCAGGCATCGTAATTCATTAAGCAGAGTTGCGTCCCTTAGTCGGTCCAGGATATACTTATCGTTGTTTCGAAAGTCATATTAGACCCAAATATAATGACACCCGTGGTCGTGGCTTTCCCCAAAGTCGTAAACATCTGTGACCTTCGCCACTTCGGGCTTTCCGACCACGTAAATTAGAAACGCCTTGATATAACAGACTCACTCACAAGAAGTGCCCAAAATATTTTCCTGGCAGAGAATCTGTATCTGTGAGTAAGATAAATTTAACGTCATAAATGGCACTGACGTCTTCACGTCCCCTTGAATAGTCGATGACGTCATTGGTAAATCCCTGGGGTTTTTTTACCTCCGTCACAAAAGAGCTCACTGTCATAGATAAAATTTGGGTCGTGAGTAAGATAGATTTAAGACAGCTTCAAGAATGACTCTTATGGCAGTCGTACGCTTCATGAATACGCGGGGAGGTCGGGTAGCCTAGTGGTTAAAGCGTTCGCTCGTCACGCCGAAGACCCGGGTTCGATTCCCGACATGAGTACAATGTGTGAAGCCCATTTCTGGTGTCCCCCGCCTTGATATTGCTGGAATATTGCTAAAAGCGGCGTAAAACCATACTCACTCACTCATGAATACGCTGGTCACAAGTGGCGACATGTTTGGCTCGGTAACCTGGTTGATTGCGTGTCATCGTACCCCGACTGTGCGGATCGTTGCTCATAATATCCGGGGAAGAATAGGTCTTCAGCAACCCATGCTTGCCGTAAAAGGCGACCATGCTTGTCATAAGAGGCGACTAACGGGATCGGGTAGTCAGGCTCGCTGATTTGGTTGATGTATGTCATTGTATCCCAATTGCGTGGATCGATGCTCATGTCAATCAAGTTCAGACTCGAGTATTTACAGGCCGTCGTCATATAGGTGGAATATTGCTGAGTGCGGCTTTAAACAAGAACAAATTTAAACATGTACACTATATGTGACCGCTTTGGATTTCAGGGCAGTGGGGAACATGATGTTCACCCTCGTCTGGCCGATCTTCCCCTTCATCCTGCAGCTGGCCGTCGTGGGGGTCCAGCTGGCCATCGCTGTGTATCCTTGTTACCATGGCAACAATATATAGCTACACCCTTGTAAAGAGGCCACCCTTAATCTTATCCATTGAGATCCGGGTTATGAGATATCCGGATTAAGGAATGAATACTGAGTGATATCAATTCATTTAGGGAGCCGTTGATCGCCCTGGAGACGGGGGTTCCAGATTAACGAGGATTAATAACTTAACAATAGGATTAATTTTTATGATTACCGTTTTTGACACAGTCAATAATTGATGGTTTACCCAAATACTGAATTCTTCGTGACATAACTATCCTCATTTGGGACAACTGTTCTTACCATGCTGCATTTTATTTTTTATTTTGTCTTCTTTATTCTTCTGTAACTGCCTGGTCAGGTTATTTTTCATTTAACAAAAATGATATCCGGTCATTGTTGATTACGGAATATTTTGTTCAGGTGCATTGAATAATGCTCACTATATTGACCACTAGTTTGTGTATTTCGCACCTGATTACCCGTCAAACGCTTTAATATAATTGTGAGACTGAATTAGTTGACGTGTTTCGATTATTCTGTTATAAACGCTCGTTATTCTCATAATACCAAGGAGGCGGTCGGGTAGCCTAGTGGTTAAAGCGTTCGCTCATCACGCTGAAGACCCGGGTTCGATTCCCGACATGGGTACAATGTGTGAAGCCCATTTCTGGTGTCCCCCGCCTTGATATTGCTGGAATATTGCTAAAAGCGGCGTAAAACTATACTCACTCACTCACTCATAATACCCAGCTTGCCTCGCTAAGGAGGTCGTAAACAAATACGTGCTATTTATTTGTTTGGTGTTTTTATTCAGGCATATTTTTCACGAATAGCTAGCCAGGGGTATAAACATTAATAATATAAATACTTAGTCTAAGATTGCTTTGTATTTCTGGTAAACCGGTTCGAAAGTGGGAAAACTCATAACATGATGTCAATAACATTAATTAAAATAGGTATTACAATGCAGTATTGTAATATTGTTTCAGTTGGTGCCGTTCATGGAACCGCTCAATATCATTCTAATATATGATATGATCATATTGATAATGGATAAGAACAATAATGAATATGTTTTGGTAGTGTTGAAACAATATATAGCCCAGGTATCAAAATAGGTATGCTACATATAGATTTGTCTTATTTGAATTAGGTTATATTTTACTGTTATCCTCAATAATTCAAGGGTTAGAATACACCACGTTCATCCATATACGGCTTAATAGTGACGTGTGTCTATTATTCGTGGACTAAATTTATATAAAGACCCCGGGGTATTGTAACATCCTACTTATGAGATGTGACCCGAATGCAGAACAATAGGATGACGTCAATGGAGGTTCATAACACTGAAAATCAAATATCATTTCAATAGTAATACTGCGCCAGATAGTCACCATCAATATGCACGGGGCGGTTAGTTAGCTAAAGCGTTCGCTCGTATCGACGAAGAACCGGTTTCGATTCCCCATTGGTACAATGTGTGAAGCCCATTTCTGGTGTCCCCTGCTGTGATATTGCTGGAATATTGCTAAAAGCAGCGTAAAACCATACTCACTAAATATGCTATAAACCTCAACTGGCTAAAGCTACCTCGCGTCTATTGGACGGAACCAGCAACTTGGCCAGAACAACATCACGTTCGCTAACGGGACTGTCAACGAGGATTTGGTCAAGCAGACCACTAAAAACCTGTTCCAACAGATACCCTGTGACACAGATGTAAGTATACGGGATTGGGGCAGGTTGCGTTTTTGTATTGGCCCTGACCATGGTTTTGTAATGAAAATTGTGTGAGATGTGGGTGATACCGCATGCTTACCTTTTTCGCGAACATCTCGTGTAGTCTCTGATTTTCAGTGATCCATTCATATTCTGTAAATAATGTTTTTGTAATCAAATTAAATTTTATCACTATCTTGTCTATGCAAACCCAATAGAATATGTTTCGCTGACATTCGAGACAGAATCTCGGGCGATGACGTTTTGAATTTAAATACTTTTTAAGTAGTGTGTGATGTAGTTATCTAACTGTGTGTTATAAATGACTTGGTTACGACTCCAACGTAAGGGATAGTAGAGGAGCCCAACGGATGAAGAAATGATTCGTCGCGTCGAGATCCCGTTGTCAGATTCCCAATGTAAAGCCCATTTGACTCATTCCTGACATGGCTGAAATACTGCTAAAAGCGCTGTAAAAAATCATGTTCAATTAGTCACTTTAGCCACAACTTATAGCATAACATTGTGTAACAAACACAGTGTATTTAGCAAGAAATGAAGGCATTCCACGTAATCACTGCAGATCTTTAGTTTTGTTCTAAGTCATGATTTCCCATCCTGGTTCGTCCCGATTATGTTTCTAGGTTTGTCAGCACCATACCCGTGCTCGTGGATTTCACCAAAGTGGTAAACGTCTGAGACCTGCATCACTTCGCCCCTCTTCCCACATTAATCTGGCACGCCTCGATATAACTGGAATACTGTTAAAAGCGGCGTGAAACCCAACTCACTCACTCACTTGATTTTACTTTTTTGAAAACGTTAGCATGTTGTCAAGAAGCATGTTTGCGGTTGCCTTCCATGTTTGTATCATTCTGATAAAATAAAACTTTTTCTTTTTCAGGCGAATGACACCACTCTTGGGAACGTGTGTGGTTACTTGAAGTACGGCCGCGGAGAGTAAGTCACACAAACAGTCATTGTCAACCATTCAGTACATGTGATGACAGGGAAATGTGGTAGCCTTGTGGCTAAATGTTTGCTCGTCACCCAATCTCATTAAAATCAGATCTTACTTAGTTCTCGCTACCGCTAAACAAAGATCTAAGGACATCCCATTACGGGTCACGTCAGACCGACCTTGCGCGAACTTTGACCGACATATGGAATGACCAGTCAGAAGGATGCTTTCTCGTGCTTTACGGCACAAATTTCAAATTGGCGACTACGCTTCGAAACATATTTTAACAAATTCTCGATTACAAATTTGAAACCTGAACAAAAAACCCATTCTGGAACGTCTAATAGATGGTCTAGATTGTAAGGAATCAGTCGTTAAACCCGTAACTATCGTTCGGAATACCCGGTGTTAAAGTTTTCGAGATTGCGTGATTAGAAATCACATTCCAACTGTCACTTTCATAATCTGGTAAGCGACGCACTGATTGGTCGGATGAAAGGTCGTTCTGACGTGATCCCTAATGGGATGTCTTCAGATCTTTGTTTAGCGGTAGCGAGAACTAAGGTCTGATTTTAATGAGATTGCTCGTCACCTCGAGGCCACGGTTCCATTCCCCACATGTGAACAACGTTTTAAGCTTTTATTGGTGCCCTCGCCGTGATACTATTAAATGGTTTGAAAGCGGCGTTCAACAAGACTCATTTATATAACATTAGGGTGGTCGTGTAGCCTTGTGGTTAAACATTCTCTCGTTGTCAACATATACAGGTTCGATCCGCATACAACAATGTCCAACGCCATTTATGTCAACCTGTGACAGTGCATACAACAATACGCATCGTATGAAGATAAGCACGATACTGTATTTCAGCTTCACCATCTACCTTCAAATCTACAACATCTTCATGCTGTTCTGGATGGTCAACTTCGCGGTTGCCCTCGGTCAGATGACCCTGGCCGGAGCCTTCGCCTCGTACTACTGGGCGTGGGACAAGAGCAAGGACATCCCCGCGTTCCCCCTGGCTAGCTCCTTCTGGCGGTGCTTCAGGTACGTACACTGCAGATCTACCGGCGTGTATTTCAGAAAGACTGTGTTTAAAGACCGCCCACAATGAAACGACGCGGCACGGCGCGGCTCGCTGCGGTGCGCTGCGGTGCGTGGCGTCTGCATAAATAACCGGGTCATTGTCTTTTCAATAGCAACCTTGATTAACGGAGCGCGTCAGAAGTGTCTGAAAAAAAATATCGATCGCTCAAAATGTTATTTTTGTTGCTTGATGCCTGTCCTACCGTGAATATGTACCTAGGATCTTTGTTGTTCCTTCACTTTTTCTGCCGCCAGAGATACGTCACTGTTCTTCACATGCATTTTCCTATCCATCGTGTATGTCAGCGATCACTGTGGTTTCACTGTGACGTACAACTGGCATTCATTAAACGTACAATATATTTGTCCTATAAAACCCTAATATTGTTTCGGGGGCACGGGTGGCCCAGTCGTCTAAGGCGCCGCGATTCGCTGTGCAGAGTTGCGTCCCTTGGGCACTCCAGAAACCTATGATTGTGGGTTCGAATTCCAGTTCGCCCCGATTAAGTTTCTAGGTTTGTAAGCACCATACCCGTGCTCGTGGGTTTCACCGAAGTGGTAAACGTCTGAGACCTGCATCACTTCGGGCTTTCCTCCCACATTAATCTGACATGCCGCGATATAACTGGAATACTGTTAAAAGCGGCGTTAAACCCAACCCAATCACTCACTAATATAGTTTCAGTTGTATATATTTAAGTACCCTTGGAGATTCCGCTTAAGATTATATATATATATAGGTCCCGAGCAGCCTGTGCTTGCATGAGATGTGACTAAATGGATCCAGTGGTCAGGCTCGGCGACTTCGTTGATTGCATGTCATCGTATCTCAATTGCGTGAATCGATGCTCATAAAGTCAATCACTAGATTCGATCATTTACAGACCGCTGTCATATAGCTGGAATATTGTTGAATGCGGCGTTAAACAAAACAAACAAACAAACAAACAAACAAACAATTGCGTGGATCAATGATCGAGGTCAATCACTTGATTGTCCTACCCAGATTCGAATATTTGCAGACCAGTGTCATATAGATTGAATATTGCTGATTTAAAAAATATGTTTCTGAACCGCTGCTATGATGCTGCTTGAACGTGGGTTGAACAAACATTCTGTCATGCTGCCCCGCTTCAGTGTGTCCTGGACCGCCTCCGTGGTCTTGTGGTAGAGCGTCCGCCCGGAGAGCGGAAGGTCCGGGGTTCGATCCCCGGCCGCGTCATACCAAAAGACGTTAAAAGATGGTACTTGTTGTTACCCCGTCTGGTGCTCGGCATTAAGGGGCTAATACAAGGACTGGTCGGCTCGGAGTCAGTATACTGTGTCTGAGTGGGGTATTCATGTTAAACTGCGGCATGGTATCTCAGTGAGCTAGCACTATAAATCGGCATCAGTCCGGATTAGTATAAGCAGCCACACAAACACACACACACATGCACGCCGCTATATAAGTGCAATAATCTTGGACGCGACGTTAAACCCCATTTCACCTCACCTCAGTGTGTCCCGGCCTTTAGATGTAAAGCTTCGTGGAGACTTGATGGCGCAGCTGTTGTTTTGACATGGTGTCATTCTGCCATGAGAGAATGTCATGTGTCGGCGACGATAATTAGCCTTTTGTTGTTTTGAGTGGGTTGGCAATTTGGATTAATAACTAAACTGTTTTAACCTTCAAATAGCAGTATATTGTTAACGATATAGTTACCCAAATAATACTGATTTAATAACCCGTAGTAATTTCGTAATTTTCGTCGATAGAAATTATTATTTTTTATATCACTACAAATTTTTTTAAATGGAGTTTATTTCAAGTGCCTCGTAAAATATCATGTTTCTCTCATCGAATGACGGGGGAAGGAGATATTTTTACGTACGCCACTCGTGAAAATATCTCCTTTCCCCCGTCGTTCGATGAGAGAAACATGATATTTCACGAGGCACATGATATCCTATTTATTTGTACATTTTGTGTAGTTGTCTACCGAAAATAATTTTTGTCATTACAAATGTAAAACCTTGAAACGTAGATTCTCCCTATCTAACACTCAGGGACGTTTCACTACCCCTTTGTAATTGCGACATTAAAAGTAGTTCCGAGTTTGCAAATCAGCAAAAATATAAACAAAAGAATACAAAATATTTGAGATCACTGAAGTTCTTTGTGATACATTTCGATATTATTATATACAAAAACAACTTCAACCAAAAATATTCCTGAAAGCTACGAGACCTCCGTAGGAAACGAAGAAATACACGTTGATCAAGTAACAAAAATGGCGCTTTACGAAATAAACTCGATTGACGAGTTAAATGAGAAACTTACAGTAACTGTTTATAACGAAACATTTTTAAGAGAATATCCAACGGCAAGAAGCGATATAAAATCCATAAAATAACCATCTTGTCAGTGTGGAACTAACGTAAAAAGGAAGTCAACAGTTTGTGTACGGGCCAGACACTTACGATAAAGGGAGATAATTTGCGGGGAGGTAACTCTTGGATGACAATAATTTCGTCAAATTATAATATTCACTGCACTGAAATATCAAATGTTATGTTCACTGCAGTACAATATCAAGTGTTATGTTCACTGCAGTGAAATATGAAGTGTTATGTCCACTGCAATGAAATATCAAGTGTTATGTTCACTGCAGTGAAATATCAAGTGTTATGTTCACTGCAATGAAAATTTCTCAACTTCAGAAAACTCAGTCTTTCACACGGTCTGGTAATAAAATGAAGAAAATAATTACTGGAATGAGTTACCATGCCAGACGGGAAGGCATAACATGTTTATGTGAATGTATTCGTGAAACATGTATTGTGGAACAAGTCCCGAAAGATCTCCCTCAATCCAACTGCAGCAGCGGTTGATTACTTTTTATCTTACGTCCCACGCTGTTGTGTTTATAGTGTTAATGTATGCTATGTATGAACGCTTCTCGACTCCAGGTATCACCTGGGCACCCTGGCGTTCGGCTCTCTTATTATTGCGATAGTACAGATGATCCGGATCTTCCTGGAGTACCTGGACCACAAGCTGAAGGGGAGCGAGAACGCTGTGGCCAAGTTCTTTTTGAAGTGAGTTCCACAAGCCTGGTGGTTATTGAATAAACCTGCATGTTGTACACAGATGTCTGATAGTTACTGAATAAAACTGTCTTTTGTCCACAGATGTCTGATAGTTACTGAATAAATATGTCTGTTGTCCACAGATGTCTGATAGTTACCGAATAAAACTGTCTGTTGTCTGCAGATGTCTGATAGTTACTGATTAATAATGTCTGCTGTCCACAATTGTCTGATAGTTACTGAATTAAACTGTCTGCTGTCTGCAGATGTCTGATAGTTATTAATACTGTCTGTTGTCTGCAGATGTCTGATAGTTACTGATTAATACTGTCTGTTGTCTACAGATGTATTTTAGTTACAGAGTAATAATGTCTGTTGTCCACAGATGTCTGATAGTTACTGAATTAAACTGTCTTTGTCTGCAGATGTCTGATATTTATTGATTAATACTGTCTGTTGTCTACAGATATATGTTAGTTCCAGAGTAATACTGTCTGTTGTCTGCAGTTGACTGATAGTTACTGAGCAATACTGCCTATCTTCAAATATATGAAGTCTGATAGTTACTGATTAATACGACCTGTTGTCTGCATATGTCTGATAGTTATTGATTAATACTGTCTGTTGTCTGCAGATGTCTGAAGTGTTGCTTCTGGTGTCTGGAGAAGTTCATCAAATTCATCAACAAGAATGCCTACATCATCGTAAGACGTTGTGATATATACCATTGAAGCTTGAGTGTAACATAATAACATATATTTACAAATTTGTAAACAGAGGTAAAACAGAGATATGTTTGCTCTGATACAAATATAAATGCGGAAGGCGTAGCATGAACATGTACGGTATGGCGGGGGTCAGTGTTAGGCATACTGTGATCATGTACAGAGTGTAATGTGTCATGAAGGTTGTGACGGGGTCTCCAGACGTGTCCTGGGTATGACAAGATGACAAATGGCCCCGGAAGTGTTGACCTTTGCGCTCCCTGTTTCAGACCGCCATCTATGGGAAGAATTTCTGCATGGCAGCAAAAGACGCCTTTTTCCTCATCCTCAGGAACGTTGTCAGGTACGGGTTTACTCACTCACCCTGCAGTCTTCAGTAGCCAATACTTACCGTAAAAGACGACTATGCTAGTAAAAGGCGACTAACGGGATCGGGTGGTCAGGTTCGCTGACTTGGTGTATACATGTCATCGATCCCAATTGCTTGGATCTATGCTTATGATGTCAATCACTGGATTGTCTGGTCCAGACTCGATTATTTACAGACTGCCGTCATATAGCTTGAATATTGCTGAGTGCGGCGTTAAACAACAAACAAACTAACCCTGCAGCATATGTGAATTGGAGCTGTTGCGTTCTCCAAAATCCAAACAATTAACTCTTCAATGACTAATGTGTTATGACGTAAATATATGTGAGGTGAAGTGAGGTGAGGTGAAATGACTTCAAGACAATTGCACTTTAAGTGAGTGAGTGAGTGAGGGAGGGAGGGAGGTTTTACGCCGCTTTTAGCAATATTCCAGCAAAATGACGGCGGGGAACACCAGAAATGGGCTTCTCGCGTTGTACCCATGTCGGGAATCGAACCCGGGTCTTCGGCGTGACGAGCGAACGCTTTAACCACTAGGCTACCCGACCGCCCCGCACTTTAAGCGAAGTGCTTGCGTGCGTGTGTTATGTGTCTGCTTGTGCTAGCCCGGACTAATACCGGTTTTATTGTGCTAGCCCACTGAGATATCATGCCGTAGCTTAACATGGATACCCCACTCAGACACAGCATATCGACTTCAGTGGCTCCGTCGTTTGAGACGCCGTAATTCCCTGTAAAGAGTTACGTCCCTTAGGTATGCCAGAATCCCTTGATCGCCCTGATTATGATTCTTGTTCCGCACCATACTCATGGGTTCCACCAAAGTGGTAAACGTCCAAGACCTAAATCTTTTTGGGCTTTCATCCGGAAATACGCTGATATGCCGTGATATGACTGAAAAAGTGTTAAAAGCCTCGTCACATATCACTCACTAACTTACTCTTTGATTGTTTTGCGATCTTCTTTTGACAATGTAACGTGAATATGTAAAATGCACCGAGGTTTAGTTTCCCGAGCCGGCAAGCGCAATTTAAGGTATACTAATATATATATACTAACGGTAAATCAAATAATGAAGAAAGTTAAACCAAGTCAAGTCAGGACAGTCTCCAAGTCGTCCGAGTGAATGGGAGTTATGTCCCTTTGTATATACAAACCCAAGCTCCTTCCCAGCGCGTGACACCTTCGTTACACTCTCGGTAAAGCGAATTCCTCGAACGGGATATCGCTGTGAGGAGCTGGATACTCATTATACAGTCGTTGCCAAACCAAAGGCGAGAAAGACGAAGAGTGTTAAGTTACGATGTCTCTAAATTGTACAATGTTCCCACTTTCAGGGTTGTCGTAATAGACAAGGTGACCGATTTCCTGCTCTTTATCGGAAAACTGGTGGTCGTGGGACTTGTAGGTGAGTAAAAAATGTAGGAATTAATTAACTTAACTGAAATTCCCATTTTGATAAAAACCGTTTCAACAATCCAACCAAACAAATTTAACACCTTCTCTACGATGCTTTAGGTGGGTAAACGAAAATATACATATTCACAAAAATGTCTATCAGAATTATTTGTTACTAAATCCACAACTAAAGCACACTGCACAGGGCGGATTGTAAAGATTTTTTGTGAGGTTGGTTACTTGTATTCATTAGAACCTATATACTCATAAGCAAGCTGTCGCCAACATTGGTGTCAAATTAGATGGCTGTAGTACTTGCATTGGAGGATACGTCAATAACGCTGTAACATGTTGGTCTACAGGAGCGGGCTCCTTCTTTTTCTTTGATGGGAGGATTCCGTACTTAGCCAAGTACACTCCTAACCTCAACTTTTACGTTGTCCCAATTGTGGTGAGTCCGTGGTTACATTGTAATATCATCTAAGTAAATGAATGTTGTTTTACGCATGGCGGATGTTGGTTATATTCGCCAATTTCGTATATCCGATTATTGGTAATATCCGCCTGTTGGGTATATCCGACTTCGTGACATCTGACTATTGTTGATATCCCACTATTGGTGATAACCGACTATCGGTTATATTTGACTATTGGTTATATCCGACTATTGCTTATATCCGACTGTTGGTAATATCTGACTATTGTTGATATCCGACTATTGGTGAATACCGACTATTGGTTATATCCGACCATTGGTTATATCCGACTATTGGTTATATCCAACCATTGGTTATATCCGATTATTGGCAATATCTGACTATTGGTAATATCTGACTATTGGTAATATCCAACTATTGGTTATATCCAACTAATGGTTTAATCCGACTATTTGTAATATCTGACTTTTGGTTATGTAAGACTATTAGTAATATCTGACTGCTGGTTATATCCAACTATTGGTGATATCTGATTATTGGTTATATCTGCTTTTCCTCGACTGTTCGTTAAAGACGTCTACTCACTATATGTGCTTTACTTGTTTCAAGATGCTAACACTATTTATTTGCAGGTGGTCATAATCGGCAGCTACATAATCGCAGCCTGCTTCTTCAGCGTGTACGGGATGGCAGTGGACACCCTCTTCCTGTGTTTCTGTGAGTCACTTATACAGTCACTTAACACTTGTATACTGCTGATAATAACAAACTTGAGAAAAATAATCAGAATCGATCTGCATATGGTGCAGGCAATATCATCAGCAGGGGTGGAAGGTCCGCTCATGGGCCGGGTGAACTGGCATGTTGCACACGGAATCATCACCATCACCATCATCATCATCATCATCTAACCACGGTTATTATCATCATCACCATCATCATCTTCTAAACATCATCATCATCATCATCACCTTCTAAACATCATCATCATCATCATCATCTTCTAAAAATCATCATCATCATCATCATCTAATATAACCACGGTTATTATCATAACCATCACCATCTTCTAAACATCATCATCATCTAACCATGGTTATTATCATAACCATCACCATCTTCTAAACATCATCATCATCATCATCATCATCTAACCACGGTTATTATCATCACCATCATCATCATCTTTAAACATCATCATCATCATCATCATCATCATCATCATCTAACCACGGTTATTATCATCACCATCATCATCATCTTAAACATCATCATCATCATCATCATCATCATGCCACGATTATTATCATCACCATCCGCATCTTCTAACCATGATGCTGATTATTATTGTTATTCTTTTTATTATCATTTCAGTGGAGGATCTGGAACGTCACGACGGGTCAGCAGATAAGCCGTACTACATGAGCAAGGAGATGATGGGCATCCTTGGGAAGAAGAACGCCATCCCTAAGAAGAATGACTGACCAGTGACACTTCGCTGATAGGACGTCACAGCTGCAGCGACCCTAACATTCTAGATGAACCTTAGATAGTTGCAGAGATATTTTGAACCTTTGTGTCCATGGCAACTATTTGCTCTCTACTGTGATACTTGTATATGCCTTGACTCAGTATTGTGTACAAACATATTTTTATCAGAATAAGATAATTATCCACGATGAGGGCAACTCTCGGTTTGATCAAGGCCCTCATTAGGGATACTTAATAATACTCGTGTGTGAAATGGAAATGACAAGTTTGTATACATATATCTATTTCCCCTTTCCCTGCACAAAAGCTAGTTTGATTTATTTTCTAGTTATAGGGGCCACTGGGGACACGGGTGGCCCAGTCGTCTAAGGCGCCGCGATTCGCTGTGTAGAGTTGCGTCCCTTGGGCACGCCAGAAACCTATGATTGTGGGTTCGAATCCCGGTTCGCCCCGATTATGTTTCTAGGTTTGTCAGCACCATACCCGTGCTCGTCGGTTTCACCGAAGCGGTAAACGTCTGAGACATGTATCGCTTCGGGCTTTCCTCCCACATTAAGCTGACACGCTTTCCTCCCACATTAAGCTGACACGCCGTGATATAACTTGATTACTGTTAAAAGCGGCGTTAAACTAAACTCACTCACTCACTATAGGGGCCACTGAACGAAATTCCCTGTGATCTTTTTACGAAAAACAAATCGCTGTTTTATAAAGCAATGTGATTCTCAGTTGTAACTGGAGAAGAAGAAGAAGAAGAAGAAGTTGTAGTGAGGACGAATGTTTAGACTGAATGTAAATACGCTTTGTAGAAATGTGTATGAGATTTTTAGCAATGCATTGTGGATGTTGGGGCTGCAGTGACATGGCGACTATGCTTGTGGTAAGAGCAGCTAACAGGATCGGTGGTCAGCCTCGCTGACTTGGTTGATTCATGTCATCGTATTCCAATTGCTTGGATCGATGCTCATGATGTCAATCACTGGATTGTCTGGTCCAGGCTCGATTATTTACAGACCGCCGTCATATAGCTGGCATATTGCTGAGTGCGGCGTTTAACAACAAACAAAGATGATACAAAGTGGTCCTTTTCATGGAGAAGCACATACCATACAGAACCATACATGTATGTGGTCTACAAATATATAATTCTGCCATACTCTATAATAGTCAAAGCCTGGGTATCTATGTCATTTTAGCCAAAATATACCAAATTCAATATCTTTCGTTTTTGACAATTAATAATTTTCAAATCAGTGATCACCATTATTCTAAATTGATATCACTGGAAAATATGTTTGTTGCAAACATATTCCATTGGGTGTAAAGTAGTGACTTAGTCGTGATGGAAGTTATGTCAATGGAGTGGAGGTTTATGTGTAAAACATTGCATCATTGTGTCTTTGTTGTGAAGTAGGTGTATTCACTAGTGCTAGTGTTGGTTCAAACTTGGTATCTAGGCCCATCACGACTTTATGAAATGTGTAAATGGATTACTGCAACCAGATACACAAGTATAGACTTGGAGTTCAGGGTCGTGACATTCTGTTTACAAACAACACTTCTTGCCATGGAAAATATGCATTTTTATCATTTAAGATATTCAACAGATTCAAGTCCAAGACAAATGTCAGTATTCCCAGCTTAACAACTGGACATAATGTGTCAGCATTCTTTATAAATGTCAACTCGATACAGAAAGCATTATTTCAAACAGTGAAGCCCCATTAATTCGGACGATTTCCAGTTGATTCGTCCTGATTAACAAATATCCGGATTAACGTATTCTTTATAAATGGCAACTCGATACAGAAAGCATTATTTCACACAGTGAAACCAAATTAATTCGGACAATTTCCAGTTGATTCGTACTGATAAACAAATGTCCTGATTAACGAGTCTTTGTCAGAGAGTAATGTCGTATCTGTAGGCGGTCCAAGGGTAATCAGCCGGATGTCCGTACAAGCGGGGTTTCACAGTATTCAGTTTACAGGTGTGGACCCTTTTGACAACACCCTGAGCTGAACCTTGAGTGCATAGTGTTTACTCTGCAGCCGTGTCAGGGGGAATATTTTAATATCTTGACTATATATTTTTAGTAACAAATCTTTCCAAATGGCAGTAATGGTTAATGTCCATATACCATGGTTGAATAGAATAGTGCTAACTTGGGTAAGCTGTCTTGTCAGTAGACGTGATTTTATTTTGGCGTATGTGATGACAATGGAATTTCTGTATAATAGTAACTTTATTAGTTAGAATTCATTTTGAACAAGCAACGCTAACTTCAAACAGTTAAAAGAGTGAAATACATGTGTAGTGGAACCGACCATTTTATATTGTGGGAGGGAGTGTCTGGAATGTTTGTCAGAGGTAGCTTATTTCTCGGCCTCAGTTTCATGACATAATTTGTCTCCAGAAAGGATAGGCTGAACACTTTCATGTTTCTTCTCAACACATTTTCTTCAGGACAGACAAACATTTATCTCTTTTGTGGAGGCAAGATTGTTTTTTAGAATGCCCCCCCCCCCCCCCCCCCAGAATATCAAATGGTAGGACCCTTAGGCTTCTACTGCTTCTTCATTCGTGACCAACTCGTGGTGCAGGTGACGGAAAGGGTCGATTGGTGCCGAATGCTGCTTCTTACTATTGTCAGCACCTTCAGTGTGTATAATGCTAAGTTTCATCCACCCTGTCTACTGATGACTCTATTCTACGAAAGCAATACTCTATGTTCACGCTTTGGGTACTGATTGTGGTGCACCGCAGTTTGACAAGGACGACGATTCATCCAATTACCAACATAGGTGTTCCGTGTAGTAAAACATAAAACCAAAAATGTACATTTTTGTGATGAATAATTATATTCCCTGTGTACTCCGGTGTATATTTGTAAGTATGGCTTTAAACTGTGTCTATTCATTTACTTATATATGTATGTAAAGTATATCTATGGAAACAAATTCGTGCAATCATGTTAATCTTATCTACGTTCTAGGTGAAAGGTATGAATCTAAACACTTGACAAATTTTACTCTTTTTAAATACATTGCGTGTGAAGTCGTGCATGTTGTAAGAACCAGCTTCAGACGTACTGAAACAGCGTTACGTTTGAAAGTGCCCTGGGCCCACTTGTACAAAACGATCTTAGCGCTAAGACTATTGTAAGCCTATGTTAAAGTATGGGAGTGAAGATCATCTTAGCGCTACGATCGCTTTGTGCAAGTGGACCCTGGTAATTTGCAAGTGTTTCAGTGACATCAGGTAGAAATGATACGGTATTCAAAACGTTCGAATACATGTGTCGTGTATGTATGATTCACTGACGTGTATTGTAGCGAGTATCAAACTTTCCACAAAAGCAGGTGATTTTCCTCTGTATATATGCTAGCGGGTGTTAAGATATGTCCTTCATACCTGTATGGTAGGTAATTACGCCTTGTATATAATGTTATGTTATGTAATAAAGTTATGTTATTATAAGATCGTACCACTCATGTGACTGACATCGTCGATAATACTTTGTTATATAAATGTTATAAACAATCAGCGAACCCATTTTTGCTCCTGAAGCTGCACTTCGCAAGTAGGTATTTTGAACGATTGTATTCCAATCGCTGAGAAAAAATATCTCCCCCCCCCCCCCCCCCCCCCCCCCACGATGTTCAGGAACATATGATTTCGTTTTTAAAATTACCCCCTTCCTCCCGAAATTATCAAATGATTAGCTTCGAAGTTCATAGGAATATAGTGCATAATATACTTTCAATTAATTAAAATAAAGTTTGTTCTCCCTGGGAAGCACCGATACGTGTTAATGTTGTTTCGTTGCGTGACTTATGCTGGTCAGTATATGGTCAAGCACTTGAACTCTATACCAGCAGTCAGGGTTTTCAATGTTTCACGTATATCCTGTGACATTGTCTTTCTGTTCTGATGGTATTTCCGTCCTTAATATGCCTTGTATTCTGCACATATATATTCAAACTGAAAACTACTTGTATTTTCCTAATAATTCCTATTGTTTTACTTATGTTGTGAAAAAAAGCCAAAAATCTTAAATGTTTAAATCAATGTGCACTGACCGCTTGAACACAATGTTGACCGCAACATGCTGCGTACCCCCCCTTGAGGTCAACCAAGAACAGAAGTAGTTCGCGGAATGTGTCTTTAATATTATTCCAGTTGTTGATGGGAACGGGTGACGTAATGGTTTTAGCCCCCCCCCCCCCCCCCAGTTCGCTGTACAGTGTTGCGTCCCTTTGTTGTGATCCTCTGGGCCTAGATTTTCGAAACGATCTTAGCTAAGATAAATCTTAACTTACGTTCAACGATAAGATATCTTAAGGTTAAGATAAGATAGAATTCCGAAACTATATATTGCAAGCTATCGACTCCACAGTTATGTGGATCGCTGTCGCGATTAAGAACATTTTTGACGTGAAATCCTTGATGCGTTCTTCGTGTTTTCGAAGTGTCAATTTGAATCACTCAGTTTTACAAAATGAAATGTCAATGTTTGAACGTAAAGCAGACTTATTGTTTGGCAAAATATCTATGGAAAAGTATGCCGCCTTCTTGGATGAAGAAAAAATAAACTTACGACAGGTATGGGTCTATCTTAGATTTACGACAATATTAAGATATCTTAGGGCTACGATAGTTTCGAAAATATGCTACGATAGCCTACGATTTCCATATTATAAATTTACGATAATTTTAGGGCTAAGAACTTTTCGAAAATCTAGGCCCTGGTCTTCAGTTCGATTCTCTGATTCGTCTCCATTATGACGCTTCATCTGTCATCTCATTGTGTTTGAGGACGTACTTGAAACCCAATTTTCCCTCAACCTGCTCGTGGAAATTATCCACTTCTTTGCTTCTGAAGCTGATGTTGAGCCTTAGGATTGTGATACAGTGAACCTCGATAACTCGAAGTCCTGACCAGACAGAATGTATCGAGTCATCCGTAGTTCGACACGAGCGCTGAGGCTGACGATGATTCTGACGGAACCAACAGATACATGTACTACTCAAAAGAAGTTAAAGAACACCCGATTGCTTTAACAATAGCAATATGAAAGAATCGGACTTTCGTAAAATTATTTTGAGAAATATACATGGCGTTATATGATAAATCGAGTTCCGAGTTAGGTTTCACGGTATACAAGGCAGCAAAGGTATGATTCTGCGATGCAAAAACACGAGGCGAGCTCCAGTCAGGGGCCTCCTGGTTAAAATATTTTGTGCTGATTCAGCGGTTCACATTTCTTCAACTTGTAATGTTGACTGTTCCTGTTTCTTGTTACTGCTGTTCAATATTTCATGAAATAAATATCTTTTGATATTCCTGACGTCAGGTTGTTTTTCCTGACATCCAACCGGGGCGGTGGTGTAGCCTACTGGTTAAAGCGTTCGCTCGTCACGCCAAAGACCTAATTTCGATTCCCCACATGGGTACCATGTGT